ATCGTGAATTCCTTTTATCTCCGCTCGCGTTCATATCGTGCATTCAGTAACTCTCTACCCCGAGTGGCTCTAGGAACTGGGTGAAATTTAGTAAAAGCAACATACTCTGTCTGATAAACTTCCTATTTTAATCACTTCGTGCAGTTTTTATTTTCGATTTTTTAAAAACAATATTTTCAGATCAGTAAACCTTTATTTATTTTAAGCTATTTATTATTATTAACTCAGCAGACATTAGAACAAAACTGGCAAAAAACGCGCGCTAAAAGATATGTCAAAGAGAACCAGGAAAGCAGGAATAATCGAAACATTGGATTCGAAATGCTTTTAAGACAATGGAAGAGGTACATTGTACACAGAGTTGTACACAAATACAGTTACCATCTGCCAATGTATTTTGATTTTTTATCTAAAACCTCTAAAGACTTGGAATTGATTGCCAAAAGAGGGTAAATGCTTCGCTTACACTATACCCGATGAATAAAAATAATACGTTCGTATGTTTACATGATAGGGCAGTAGCTGGATTTTTAATGGACGTCCTCTCGTCGATTTATACTGGCTTTGAGGAAAATATTTCTCGAAAGTTATGTCATCAATTGAATATTCTAAATACTCGAATTAAATCAAGTCTAACGCCTTCAGTTTCAAATGAGAAAACGTGGAGAGCCTCTCACTGCTCTATCGCTACTATCGGAAAGTGTTCGCACAAACACTTGTTTCCAACTAAGTTTCACGAAAAGGACACGGCATGTCACTCACATAGTAGAAAAAAAACTCACGTCCCCTCTGTATTCCATCGGTAAGAAGTTTCAGCCGAACAGCTTTTTCCGATGGACCATGGTTCTGTGGAACTGACTCCCAAAAGGATGTTTCCATGATCGCTACAATCTTAACCAGTTCAAGTTTAGGGCTAACCGTTACCTTCATCTCGTATATCTACAAACTACCCCCTAATGTATTTTTTTGTTACCTCGAGTGGCCTCATGGCCTTGTATACGGTGAACCTTACTGTGAAAAAAAAAAAAAAAGAAAAAAGAAAAGAAAAAATGAATAGAAAAAGCCAAGGCTTGTAAGTCAATGCGAATGAAGTATTTTTTATTTTCAGGAATCATTTTGGTAAAGTTAATTAATTAATAATCACTGTTACCTTTTTAATCTGAAAGTATCTGCAACGGAATTTCCTGATCTTGGATTAAAAGAAGTCGAAACAGTAATATTTTTATAATCCGTCTTTATTATTAACATCTTCAGAACATAGACGTTAATGGCTCACCCAATTTTCCTATCAATTGTAGTTCAAGAGCAACGTTTTAAGCTGGCCACCTAACTCCCCATATTGAAATCCCTTTGATTATTATGTGTAGGGCGAGAGACCAACAAAATTATTTTTGACACCAAAGATGAACTGAAGGTAAGGATTATGGCAACATTCATCTACTTAAACAAGGAGACTATCCAGAAGAATTGCAGAAGATTCCGAGGTCGTTTGGTGGCAGAAGTTGAAGCCAATGTCGATTTAATTGAAAAAAAATTTCTCTTTAGTATTTTAAGATATTTTTGTGTAATTTTAGTAAATATATCTGCTAAAATGAAATGTCAGTGTTATTTTCATTTTTGCGTAATTTAGACGACAATTTATCGATGGCGCCCAGTATATTATTTTAATCATTATTATAGTGGATATTAGTATTTGACATAGACCCTCCAATTTTTTAATATCTGTCTATATCTCTGAGATGAGGTATTATGATTATTTACATTATTCACCTTATTCGGACTGTTATCCTTATTTTCATTGTCATAATCACAAAGTTTTCGGCCATTGTACGCTGCAGCCTTGATTGGAATTTAGAACCGAAAGATTTATTTCGTCCACCGGGGTAGATTGTGCTAGTTCCACGTGCATAACGCTTCCGGATGCCTTAACTCAACTCACCAAATTTTTTGGTTCACCACTGCTGTAGCCAGGTATTGAACTCATAATTCTTTGGATCTAGTCACTGGATCTAACCAACGCCTTTATCCACTAGGCCATGTGTCCTTGTGGTAGTAACTGAGAAATTAGGAAGAAGCATGACACGTGGAACGTGAACAATTTACCCCGGTAGACGAAATAAAAGGTTCGGTTCGAAATTCCAATCATCTGAAGAAGGTCGGGGCGTACAACGGCCGAAACGTTGTGGATATGGCAATGAAGATGAGAATAATAGTCCGAATAGTGTAAATAACGTTTGTCATCTTAACAACCCACTTTAGTATTGTCCTGTTATCTATTGAAACAAACTCGCTACGTAGTTTATTTACTGTTTTCGCTGCTTCTCTTGCCTTCCTTATGCCTCGTGTGTGCAAAATTTTCCAAACGTTCTTTTCTCATTAAGTGTACCGGAAAATTTAATCATCATCTGAATGACCTCTTTGTGCCTTCCAGGAGAGTTGTTGCAGTTTTTTGTGTATATGTGTACTAGTGAGCCAGTCAAAATGAGCTGACTCATTTTATAGTTCACCAATAAAAGGGTTAACCAATCAGAAAGCTCAAAATATTCAATGCGACGTGTATAAAGGCAGCCATTTTTTTCCTCCCAAATTATCCTCACTGCCAACCTGATATCGAAGACTTAAAGAATTACTTAACAACCGCTACTTTCCCTGAATCTTCACTGCCGACCTCTGATATTGAACAGATTACGGACTTCACTGGCTTCCATATTCAGAGACTATGGCAAACATGGTCAACAACAGTGACTTATCGCATATTCCCGAGTTAACGTTCTTTGCTGACATGAAATAGAAAAATTAAATTGAATTAATTGCGAGCTATGCCACTCGGAATGATGGTCCACTATGTCTTTCTAGATAATTTTTCTCCCCAAAATTTATCTTGCATATTTATAAGTCTACTATTTGTCCTTGCTTCGAATATTGCTATCACATATGGTCTGGTGATCCTGCTATATAATTCGAGATTCTTGATAAAATCCAAAGAGGAAGCTGCAATGTTATTAATCCTGACCTGGCACCTCGGCTTCAGTCCCTTTTCCAACGCCGTAATGTAGCTACTCTGTGCCTTTTCTAAAAATAATGATAATTGTTCTGATGAGCTTTACTCCCTGGTGCCCAGACTTTATGAATTTAAGCACAGTACTAGATTGGCGGCAAGGTCATTATTATTTTAAAGCTGAGCTGGCTAGATGTAGCCGTAAGTTCTATGCTAAGTTTCTTTTCTCGCACTTCTCGCTTGTGAAACTCTCTTTTGCTTTTTTACTTTGCAGCCAATTTTGATCTTCAAAAAAGTATAGGCTATGACAATCGTTATCTTCTGTCTTCTTAATTCTTGTTCTTTTATTCTTCTCACTCCTTGATAATGTTTTTCTTTCTTTTTTTTTGTTATTTTTAACACCCAGTTACATCTTTTCGTCTTAGTGGCTTTATTACCTTGCTTGGAGTGAAATGATTAAAAATATTTCTGGTTTCATAATTTTCTTTTAATGCTTTTTCGATGCTCACATCTTTTCTTTCAAAGGTTTTTCTCATCCTACTGCTTAGGAACTGTTATATTAATTTAGCCACGCACGCATGAACTCTCGCAGCTATAAATAGGAGCAGGTACTGCCTTTTGAGAAGGGTCGTTTGCAGCAGTCAGTTCTGACAGTCGGACCGAACATTCTGGCTGTAACACTCTCTTTTGTATATGTTTGTATTACTGTTTCTGTCAATATATTTGTTTAAATTAATTCCTCTCTTTGTGTCTTTATTTCTGGCCCTAACAAGGCCACAGCAGAAACACATCTCTTTCGCTTACGTCTCCTCTTCACCCGTCAGGAAATGTTTCAGTATTCACTGCCATATAGAATAACAGGGATTACATTACAGGATTAGGGTTAGGGTTAAAGTTAGGACATCTACATCATATTTTCTGTCGATACTCCACAGCTAACAAACGTACATAGATGTACCTGATTGATTGTAATGTCTTAGACTGTCTCTCTTCATAACGACTATATATTCTGAACTATTTCAGCCATTTACAATCGCTCTATTTTCCTCATCTTTATTATTATTTTTTAACGATTCAGTGGTTATACTCTCTGGTTTGTCGATCCGGATAACCATCATGGAATTTTGAGATTTATTTAATTCATAACAGTATACTGCTCCCATTCCTTTCTACATGTCAAGGGATATTGCGTCTTGATCTTAATTACTACTGCTCGGTTATTGCTCGTCCTGCTTCCACAAGCTTAAGGGATTGAACTCACAATTATTATATCACCAAATTCAGAAATCAACATTTTGTAGACTAGGCCAATCTCTCATGAGACAGTCCCGAGTATATAATTTGGAACCTCTTCTGCTTGCTACTTTTGCTTGCTCCGTAGATTAAATAAGGGATTCAGTTCGAATTTACATGAAGGGTAAACGGATCGAGAGGTACCTAATGAAGGCCGGAGATAGAACAGTTAGAAAGTTTGGATAATAATAAGAAAGATGAGGACAATAGTCCGATTGTAAATAATGTTAATAATAATAACTCCCCATGCGATAAATTCAGAGAAAAATATCTTGAATGTTAGAAACGAAGCAACTGAATAACTGTGATACAGGCACTGAAATGGCTTGCGTTAAAAAAGATTAGGACGGGAGGCATTGATGCGATAATCTTTCGTAAATCGGTTAGAATCTCTTCATTTTGATCTTTAGTGCTGTCATATAGATGACAAATAATAGAGAAGATCACTATGATTCTTGAACGATTTATTTCCTCGTGATTAACTCAGAGATTCCACTTCCGTTGTCAAGGGAATTTCTTTCTATCCATTTCTAGGCATTGGATCGCTGTTCAAAAAGCAATTTTGAACCTATTATGACATATCACGTTGAAGCACCAGCTCTCGTACGATTACTGAAGTTAAATAACTTGTCTGTACCAAGATGGGTGAGCGCTTACGATTACCAAGTGATGTAAGCTTGGATATGCTGGTAGTATAAAGAGCTTATCGCCATACGACATCGAGACACCGGTTCTCGTACGATCTACGAAGTTAAGCAACATCGACCTGGCCAGTACCTAGATAAGTGACCGCTTGGGAATACCAGGTGTTGTAAGCTTGAATATGCTGGTGGCATAAATGGCTTATGTCCATATAACTTTGAAACCAAGTTTCTCGAACGATCACCGAAGTTAAGCTACGTTTAGCCCGGTCAGTATCTAAATGGGTGACCGCTTGGAAAAACCAGGTGTTTTAAGCTTCGCTATGCTGATGGTATAAATGGTTTATCGCTATAAGACGTTGAAAGCCCGGTTCTCGTACGATCAACAAAGTTAAGCTATGTCGATTCTGTTCAATACCTAGATGGGTGACCGCTTGGGAATACTAGGTGTTATAAGCTTGAATATGCTGGTGGTATAAAGGGCTTCGTACGATCAACGCTTGAATATGCTGGTAGACATAGGACGTTGAAACCCTGGTTCTCGTGCGATCGACGAAATTAAGCAGCATCAAGCCTGGTCAGTACCGAGATGGGTGATAGTTTGGGAATATCAGGTACTGTAAGCTTGGATACGCTTATGGCCATCGGATGTTGACACCTCGGATTCCCGAGTTTAAGCTACGTCGAGTATGGTTATTACCTAGATCAGTGACCGGTTGGGAATACCAAGTGTTATAAGCTTGAATATGCTGGTGGTATAAATGTCATATGGCCATATAACTTTGAAATCCCGGTTCTTGTACGATCAACAAAGTTAAGCAACGTCGAATCTGGTCAGTACCTAATTCTGTGACCGCTTGGGTATACCACGTGTTTTAAGCTTGTTGATGGTATAAATGGCTTATCGCTATAAGAAGTTGAAAACCCGTTTTTCGTACGATCAACAAAGTTAAGCAACGTCGAGACTGGTCAGTATCTAGATGGGTGAATTCTAAGTGCTGTAAACTTGGATTGCTGGGGGTATATAGTTTTTATGGCTATAGGACGTTGAAAGCCTGTTCCTCGTACGATCAACGAATTGAAGCCACGTCGAGATTGCTGGGCTTTTAGATGAATGACTGCTTGGGAATACCAAGTGCTGTAAGCGCGGATATGCTGGTGATCTAAGAGATAACAGCACGGCATTGGTAAGCCTAGAGTTGAGTTCCAATTTCATTCGGGTTCGAGAAGATATGAATTTATACCATTTCCAATGGTATTTTTGTGAATTCTTTGGGTTGGGTTAGTCTGGTTGATTTTACATGTCAACCTTTGAGTCATTGAATGTCGAATTTTGTTTGAGATGCCCAGTGTAGATCGAACTTCTCACTCATTAGTAATAGCCAATCAGACGTTCTCCATGACCATTACGCAACGCGGAGTCATTGCCCATTGATCTAGTCTTAGTTATGGACATTACCACAAGTATAGTGTAAGGATCGAACTTACTACGCGACAGTAATGGTCAACCATCGAAACTCGTGATTGTGAAGAAATTTTACGGAGAAATAGGCAAACAAAATATTTAAATGACAACCGTCACCTTCAACAATGGAAGAGGTTATACATTTTTAGGGAAATATTTTCCCTAGAAATATATAACCTCTTTCAGAAATATATAACATCTTTTGCTAAAAAAAAAAACTAACAAAGAAGCATATTAGATTACGCAACGATGAAAAACGAACCAGAAAAAAACATGGGCGTGAATCACAGAAGACGATGTTGAATGTTCATTGAAAAATGCACACAAATGGAAATCTCCAGGAATAGATAAAATTCCTAACCTTTGGCTCTATTATGTAAATACAGCACACAAAAAACCGAGCCAAAGAACTCTAACAAATGATCAATATTCCTACAAGATAATCGGCATGGGTAACCAAAAGAATTGCCTACCTTCTCCATAAGAATCTTGACAAATATCCCCCAAATCTACTTACATGTCTTCCTACTACTTAAAAACTATTGAAATCTATTTAGACATATTTCTTCTTAGGAAAAAAATGAGATATTCCCTCTTGAACAAAAAGGGTGCAAACGTGGCTCTTACGGATGTAAAATCCAATTTTATTTCCATCATTTCACCACAAGCAAGGCGGAATACCACTAATACGCAGGGATTAAAGAGAGTGAAAGTGAGAGAAAAGACTGGGTATAGAGGGAATTGAGGAAAGGATAAAAGATGTCATGAAAATATTTGTAGAAAAGACAGAGGGAATCCACATCACGTCTGTGAGAAAGTGACTGAAGTGACTGTTTAGGATCGATTATATTGCAGATCCTTCTCTCGATTTTGTCAAGAACCTCGAGATGAATTGCAGATATGGTAACAGTATTCAATGTACGGACGAATGGTAGATTTATAAATGTGCAAGATGCACTCTGAAGAGAAAAACCTTCTAACACGACACAGTGAATCACATTTCCTTACAGTAGGTGCAGCTATTGATTCGATGTAGTTGTTTCACTTCAAGTCATTTGAAAAGGTGAGGCCAAGAAGATGCAATGAGATGCTGTCCTGGAGTTAAGTATCAGATGGCGAACGGTAGTTAAATGAGAACAGTTTAGTTTTGGAGGTATTCAAATTTACAAGCCATTTCCTCCTCAGTTAACCACTGATAGGAGGCTCTCAGTCAAGTTAATTTTATCAGCTCTGACGGATTTGCTATTGAGACAGGAGTAATCGGTAGTGTCATCTACATAAATGCCTTCTTGGGAACTGATGACATCAGGAAGGTCCCTGATGAAGATCAGAAACAACATAGAGACCGGGATAGACCCTTGGGAGACACCGGCGTTCATGTGAAAGGATCTGGAAGCGAGTCCGTTCAGAACAAACTTAATTTCACGATTTGATAGGAATGGTTGGATTAAATCAAACAATCGTCCTGTAATACCTTAGCCCTGAAGCTTACGTACAAGACCAGAATGCCAATCCCTGTCAAACGCCTTTGAGATATTTCGAGTCACAGCTCGAGCTTCACCGTTATTATCAAGAGCTAGATATACATATTCAGTGATAGCTGTAAGCACGTTAACGGTAGATCTGACAAAACGAAAGCCATATTGTTTGTCAGAGAGTAAGTCGTGAGAGGTAAGATGCCTGACCACTTCAGTATTGATTAAAGCCTCGATTACTTTGCCGAAAAGCGACAGGAGCCTAATAGGGCAATAGAGGAGTCAGAAGTTTTTCCAGAGTTCTTAAAAGCAGAAACTACAGAGAAGGACTTCCAACAAGTTAGAAAGCGGCGAGGCAATAGTTGTTGAGTTTGGAGAGAACTGGAACTAGCTTGGGAGCATAGGACAACGATTGGTATCCCGTCACTTTCACTTGCCTTATGGGAGTCTAATTTGGAAATGATGTCCAAGACCAGTGACGGGATTATATGCTAATCGTTCAATAGAGCCTCAGTTCTAAGGGGAAAATCCGGTGTGGGTACTGCAAATGAGTCGAGTGTTGAGTTGGAAGAAAATTTCCGAGCAAGGTAGTCAACCTCATCAGCTGTAGATGTCAGGACTTCGAATTGATTGAATAAAGAAGGAATTGATGAGTTGCTGTTGTTCAGAAGACTCTTGCAGGTCCGTCAATAAACTCTAGACCCGAACTTGCTAGATGTTATACACTGTTTCATTCTATAAGCAAACAGTAACTTTGGTTCTTTGAGGACACGCTTGCACTCGTTATCAGCAGAGACAAAGTGTCGTCTGTTGCAATCAGACGTATCGCTCTGGTAGAGCCGGAAGCTTATTAATAGGATGATCTTGGAAAATTGCTTCAATACAAAGAAAAATCTCATTACTGCCTGGATAAATTACGGTAAATCATTGAAAAGCGTACCACATTTGTGGATCTTACAATATTTAAATACATACACGGTATAACCCGTCGTCATCAATTTCATCAAAGTATGTCTATATTGAAAACAACGCTTCACTTCAATATTATAAGTCTGGTGAAATAAACATCAATAGAGGAATATTTCAAGGTGACTTTTTGTCACCCTTACAATTTTGTATATCCCTAATAGTATTAACCAGCGAACTTAACAGGACGGAATATTGCTATAGGATATCTAACAAAAAAAGCCATCTATTTTACAAGGATGACTTAAAGCTGTATGCTAGGAATGACAGTGAGTTGGAAGGTCTCCTGAAAACTGTAATGTTTCAGTGATGATATTGGAATGGAATTCGATTTGGATAAATGTGCTAAAGCTACAATTTTACGAGGATCACTACAACAAACCTCCTCTATTAGCTTAGACGCTGAGGCAACAATCAAAGAGTTGGAGCATGAAGAAGTTTAAGTATCTCGGTGTAAATCAGAGTGAAGGAATTCGTCATAAAAATTAAAGAAATAGTGCGAAAAGTGCACTATAGAAGGGTGCGGCCGATATTAAGAACTATGTTGAATTCTCAAAATAGAATTATGAACTCTAAAAGATATCAAAGGAATGGATTTTAAGACAAGAAAGCTTCTTTCTAAGCCTAACATGCATCACCCAAAGGCTGATGCAAACCCTCTATCCATACCCCGTAAAGAAGGCGGAAGATGTCTTATTCAGCTAGAATTGTCTTACATGACAACAATTATTTGCCTACTAACATACATAGAAACAACAAAGGACTGGGTGATTCAATTAGCTAAATACGAAAACAGAAATAAAAAAAATATTCAATCATGGAAGAAGGTTGTAAATACAAACGAGATTTATAATTACTAGATTCTGTAGAAAACCAAAACAGAATCCAAAATCAAACTGTTACAGCAAAATCTATTAAAAAGAAATCCAAGAATAAAGCTCTTGAATAGACGAAACAACACTGGTAAGACAAACGGCTGCATTATCCAGAACGAGGCTAATAAAGCCGATGTTGATAAAGTTGACACCCAAGGATGGTTACAAGAATTTGGATTAAAGGCTGAAACGGAACGCTCTTTCTTACAGCGTAAGACCAGAGTTTTTCACCAGAAACTTTAAGACGAATATCGTACATAATAGTGTGGATCCAAAATGCAGGTTCTGTGACAAATATCAGGAAACCATAGGCTATCAAATCTCAGGATGTTCTTTACTTGCGCCAAATGAAAATAAAAGCCGTCATGATAGAGTAGAGCAATATTTACACTGGACAATGTGCAAACACTTTGGCAAAGATGTTAACAAACACTGGTATGAATATCAAGCAGCATCGGTTGCAGAAATAGAAGAAATCACAATTCTATGGGATTACACCATCTTTACAGACAGGAAGATTGGATCAAATATGGCGTATATAATTGCCAAAAACCGAAAAGAAAAATGTTGCTTACTAATTGATATAACATAACCAGCGGCCTGTAACATAGCAATTGAATAATTTGAAAAACTATTGAAGTATAAAGACCTGGAAATCGAAATAGAAAAAATGTGGAAATTGAAAACAAGAATAGTACCAGTCATAGGAGGTGTTGTAGAATAGTTTTCACAATGGAGGTTTGTATTTCACTAAGTCGGTCCTAAAAGGGTCCGACGTACAAAACGCTAGGAACTTGAAATAATAGTTAATGACGCAGCAATCTAGTTGTGGGGCTCATACTT